GGGAGCTCAGACTTCATTTGGAATGGTGGTGCCGCTGACAGGCCACTTGGGCCAATCACTGTAACATCTTTGAGCTTAGGTTTTATTCACTTAAGAACTGCCCTATTGGTTCTCTAAGGTCTCTTCATCCATCTCTAGAATCCTGATATTGTAACTAAGATTTTAAAAACTCTTTATGACCTGCCTTATTTCATATAGAACTTGAAGCAGCTCATATACATACAAATGTGGTACAACAGTACACACAGAACACAAGCACACAAAACGAGGGAAAAAGAGCAGCAAAGGTAGTATCAGAAATTAGTCTCGACATATTCCAGTAGTAACAGCCTGCAACATTTAATGCAAATATATATTTTTAAAATATTTTTATTGATTTTAGAGAGAGGAAGGGAGATAGAAACATCAACGAGAGAGTCATTAATCGGCTAGGGATCGAGGCTGCAACCCGGGCATGTGCCCTGACAGGGATCAAAATTTGATCTCTTGGATAATAGGTCTATGCTCAACCGCTGAGCCACACTGGCCAGGTGCAAATATAGTTTTAAGTGAAGTCAGACTATTGAGAGAAACTGTCTCTTTCAAACTAGCTACCTCCAAACATGAAGAAACCATTTTCTAAGGACAGTCTTTCAAAATCCATTTTAAGTCATCCAAAAAGCAAATACAGTGAGTATACTTCACTTTGAAAGAAAAAAGCAAAGCTGCCTACAAAGTAAACTTTTATCAAGAAGTCACTTTTCAAATAATTTCAAGTTTAGTGCAAGTTTACCTCTTGAACTTGAGAACCAATCAAAGAGAAAGACAAGCATCAGAATCGAGGCTGCCGGTGCAGTGAAAGACAGCGGGCACTCCCGAGACCCATCTGACTCTCCCAGAGCCCCACCTAGGTCCAGGTGTGGGAAGTTCATGTGCAATCAAAGGCCAGCACAGCTTAAAGCCTTCTTCAGACTTTCTCCAGATCAAGTCAGTTTTGCAATTTCCTAAATCTGAATTTCAAACAAAGGGTTTGAATTTGCAAGAGGCAAAGACTCTCATGGGTTCCTCTTAGTTTTTGAGGAGCAAATGTTGAAGAGCAAATTGATACCCAAAATATAGGGAAAAAAATAACCAAAATGGTATTTGTCTTCAAAGATACTTGAAAATTTTAGATTAAATGACACATACTATATAACCAATAACCAAAAACATTCAAGGGAAAAAGTTTCCCCATGGAAACTGTTGTAAAAAACACAGAATTACCAAGATGTCACACATTAGTTTAAGAAAAAGGTCAAGGAAAGGTTTAATATCAAGATTTTACTTCCTTTTCACAAACAATAAACAAAAGTTCATTAGTTGGTCAAATCACTAAAACAAACAGAATTCTAGAAAGAAAGAAAAAGAGCTCAAAATAACTCTAAATAAGCAAAGTTCTCAGCAGCAAACTTTCATTTTGCCATAACTGAGAAGCACTTGAAGAGACTGAATTTGTTTCACGTGCCCTTACCCCAAGGCCGGCCTTTTTCAGGAGGCAGCCACTGCCTCTGGTACTCCCACCTGCGCTGACCCGATGACTTTCAGTAGCTCAATTTCCTTAACTGAAACAGTTGTTCCAGAAAACAAGTCACCTCATCCAGAACCCCCGAGTTGCACAACTGCAGAGTGAAGCGCCAAGTTCAGAGACCAGCACAGGCAGAATCAGGGTCCGAGGCTGGTGAACGCTGGTTTTCCTTCAAGCACTTCCTCACCTAAGAAACATCTCCACCGTTCTGAGAGTTGTTCATTTATGAGTTTAAAAGCCTGACCGCTGCAGGGAGCAGCCCGCTCGGCCCCGGCCTGCCTGACCCGGGGTCTCCCCAGGAGTCTGCTCCCCCAGGCAGCAGGGGCCGCGTGGAAGCGGCTGGGAAACCGGACAGCCCTTCAGGGCATTCCTTCAGGGAGCGTGTGTGGGAAATCTCTCTCAACTCGCATTAACGAAAAGCTGCCAAACCGTCGAATTTTATACTTTAATGGGGTGAACTGATAGGATGTAAACTTTATTTCAAAAAAGCTAAAAAATAAAATTAACTGCCAAACTGACAGGAGTTAACAGTCTTCTCCAGGATAAAGGCCAGAGACTAAACTCAGATCAGTTTCAACCCCTCAAAATTAAACGAAATGAATGGCTGCCGGTACAGACAGTGAAGACTAAAACTATTGTTTGTGGTGCAATCATCGCATCTTAAAACCTTCTTTCAAAAGGAAACAGCCCAAGAGGGTAGTCCCCAAAACGAAAAATTTCACTTTGAGGCAATCAAAAAACCGTAACTAAGTCGATGTGCTTTTTCTCCTCTGTGGCTATTTTCACGTATAATTACTGCTGTAATATCAAGTGGTTAAAATTTGCAACTAGAAAAGACTACAATGTAGAACGGAGTAGGAACGGACACCAAAACTTTGGAGAGTACCTTCCCAACGTAAGTCCTATCATTTCGTACACGACATTCCAGCTCTAAGTGGCTTGTAAGTCACTTGCAAGGAAATGAAACCCCTTCTCCCACCACCCCAAGCTGCACAGCAAAAGTGAAGCCCTCAGCCGCTCCCTGGCCGAAGGTTGCAGGGCGGCCCTCACAGCCCGCCACCCGGGTGGGCAGAGGCCTGCGAGCTCCCGGGCCCCGACGGCCACGCGGCAGGGCCCAGACCCCGAGCCGGGTAGGCCGGGGCTCCGCGGATCGCAGCCGCGCCTGGCAAAGGCCCAGGGTCCTGCAGGCCTTTCCCAAGGGTACG